GTGATGTTTCATTTCATGTGCCACGAGGCAAGAGATTTTGTCCGTGTCGAGACCTTAGTTGCGCTTGGACATGGTCCTGAGCCTTGATGTAGTTGTGGGCCAGCATCATCAGTTGCTTTTTTTTTTTTTTTTTTTTTGTAAAAGAAGATTAATGTCCTTAAAAAAAAGAGAACGACAGAATAAAGCTCACATCTTATATGATTTTCAACTGATTTTTTAACCATTAAATTAAGAGGAGAAAGTTTCATCATTTGCTTTCAGCACATTAGAATAATCTCATCTCTAGATTTAACAACCACATTGACTTTTAGTTGACTAAGTGATAATTTAGATATGGTAAGATAATATTATATAAAAATAATATAAAATATCATATATATATTTTAAAAATATATTTTGTATTTATTTAATATGATATGATATAATTTGTGTAAGATATATATTAATTTATTTAAATACTTAATATGATACAAATAATAAATTTAATTTAATATTATCATACAAATATATGTTTAATATATTTTTATATTTAATTTAATTTAATATAAATATATAAATATTATTTTAATTTTTAATTTTTTAATTATGATATTTAATTAATTATTTAATATCATATAAAAACTATTTTAAATATGACACTCATTTAATAACTATTGTAAAATTATTTTTTATATTAATAATATAATATTAATATTAATATTAGTTTTATACATTATTATTTTATTATTTAATTATTTAATAGTTTATCATTTTGAATTTGATATTAAATATAAATATAAATATAAATATTAAATACATATTAAATGAGTATTAAAATTTTTATTTTTTAATATGTAAATACTTTTTTTATATTATTAACATGTCAAATTTATTAAATTATAAATTATAAATAATTTATTATTATTTATTATTTTAATCGTATTCTTGTATATATTCGTATTAATCGTATTTATTTGTATATATCTATATTAATAATATTTATTTATATATATTCGTATTATTCGTACTTATTCATATTTCATTTAAATAAATTTTTTTTTCGTATTAATTATGTCATGTTGTATATAATATATATATTAAATATATCGTGTTCGTGTTTAAAATTTAAATACGTTTTATAATTCATATTATATTTATATTTTAATAATTTATATAATTTTATGTATTTAATATAATATAAAATATGATATAAAAATATGAATTACAGTATCTACTAAGTACTTACTCTTCCATTTCTGTGGATCGATTTATCATTTTTTCGCCTATTCAGTGGATAGATTCAAGCATATCAATTAGCCTACAAGTTTGTGTCTCAACTCTCAATTGTTCTTGTAGCAGCTTAGAGCAAGGGTTGCCCTTTGTCTTAATTGGGTCAGACTCGGATTTGACCTAATCAGGCAGGGTTCTAAATATTATTAGGTCATGAACTCATGATTCGCCTTAAGGTGTAATTTAAAAAAAAAATTAATTTTACCCAACTCTTTTTCTTTGCTCTAGTATTTCTCCCAAAGTTTAGCAGAATAAAGCAAATATTCTTTAAGGATTTTGAAGTTCGATATTTCAAAAGCAAATCTTCTATTTTCGCTACCATGTTCGAATAAACAAAACAAAGAAGTCCACCATAAATGAAATCCAGTTTTTTTTTTTTTTCCTGCAATTACAATCATTCTTTAAATACCCCCCGTTAACACATTTACCAACAAAATGGTTTATTCAGATGAGTGGGATATTGACTTTTGGAATCAAAACTTTTTTCTTTTTTTCTTTATCTGCTTCTTTCTTTCAAAATTTATTCGAGGTTTTAGGCAAAATGACAAATGAAGGCAATTATGTCGTAGGTTTTTATATACACATGATAATTAAATTATTATTTTAATAAATATTAAATAGTTTTATGTGATAATAATTTTAGATCATCGAAAATGATCAAATCATTAATTTAAAAGATAATTTAATTATCATTTAAAAAAGTAAAAAATTTTATTATCCAAATGAAATGATATATAAAATTAATAATAATAATTAATATTACTCATTTAATATATATAAATATATACAAATAGATCTTATCCGTCTACTGATTTATTCAATAATTGAATCGAACGGCCCTTTAAACTCAGTGGTAAAGTAACGTCATGGTAAGGCGTAAGTCATCGGTTCAAATCTGATAAGGGGCTTTTGATTTTTTTTTTTTTTCATAAAACTCCAGTGAAATAGTAGTATTCATATTTAAACGAAGAATAGGGGTGTTGTTTTTTTTGGTAATAAAAAACCAACTGTATATGTATAATAATTTAATTAGAAACTGTATAATTTAACTCTAATAAGTTATTATCTAATAAGTTATTATTCTAATGAGTTAGAGTAGAGTAATTCTAAAAGAAAGTTGAACATTTGTTTATTATAATGAATAATGATAAGTCGTCTCTTGAATTGACAAATATATATATATATATTTATTTTTATTTTGCATTATATTATTCCAATCAAATCCATTGTAAAGAATTGTAAAGATTAAAAATCAACAAAAGAAAAAGTAAATGGATCTAACCCATTGAATCGTGACTATATCTACTATTCTAATATTAAAATTCAATAGAGATGAAATTGGAACAGTAGATTTCTTTTTTTTTTTCATATTTATTTGGACTCCACAAGAATCTGTCGATATTTCCGATTCAATCTTCTTGTTACTAGGAATAAATTAATATTCTATTCCTTTATAGAGAAAGAGAAACGTTTATTTCAAGTTACAACCTAAGAGCCTTTTTCAATATCTTATCTTTCTTTGATTCCAGAACACAACAAGACCCATTTCTATCTATATAGAATATATAGAATTTTTTAGATATAAATCTAAATCAAATCATGTCTTCACATATCAAATATTTCCATATCGATACATATGACACTTTTGTTCTGACAATGTGATGGAGAGTGAGTGCGAAAAAGAAACTTATTAAAAACTTAAATTTATTTTAAATTGTAATTATTTTATATTATTTATTTAATATGTAAATTAAAATTTTATTTCTTTTAAAATTATAATTATTTTATATTTTTAAAATTACTGTTGGTAAGTTCAAAATAATTTATATACTTTTTTATTTTTTAATATTTTATATATAATATAATTTTTTATTATGATTTTAATAAATTATTTTATTTTTTTAATTCAAATGTTTTTTTACATAATTTATATTATAAAAATTGGTTTACCTAATAAATAAATATATTTATCAATTTATTAATTTAATCATAATTTATTATTAAAAAAAATATTATTATATTTTATAAATTATTATTTTAGTAACATCAAAATTATTAATTTATGTAACTATTATAATATACATGATTATTTTCATATTTTTAAATAAAACAGTGTTTAATTTTTTAATAATTTAAACACAATAATGTTTAATTTAATAAATTATTGATTTCTTATAAATCATATTTAAATGTTAATCTGTATTTTTGTTAAATTTAGCTATTATGAAATTAAATGATACGTCTATAGATTATTTTGCTTTCATGTCTTTTACCAGTACAGAGAACCCTCAAAGTCTGGAGGGCATTCTAATCGTCAATTTGATATGGCGGAGCTATCTGATTTTAAAGCACACAACATCAGGGCCAGCGTGATTACCCACTTAATATTGCATTAATTCCATCTGATCAACCTGATATGTTATTATCTGGATATTGGATACCAAAAGACCAGGTCGAGTCGGATTAATTCACGTCAACTCAACACCTGTCAGGTAAGATCATTTGGACTCGACCATATCATCCCATATGTATAGATACCTCTGCCCTCTATAGTTAACCAAGTCATTCATTTTTTTCATTTCTTGTATTTTCTTATTTGCTCTCTGCGTCTCCTTTCACTCCCCTTTCTATCACTTCCAGTCTTTGTTACTGACCTACGTTACTTTTTTAAGTGCTTACTTTCGATCTGAATTTTACACAAACAAGATTTCTAATTTTCTTTTAATTTCGGATTCTCTGTTTGTTAGTGATCTTTTTGGATCCGATAACCTGCATCGAAAATCGCCTCTAGTAGTTTTCAAAACACAAACGTTGGCCGTCAACAACGAGGGAAAAAAAATCAACGCCAAAAGAAATATATGCCGAAATCTTAGCTCCCACAATGCAAATCAGTTCCAATAATCAAGTGATTGAAGGGTTTTTCCTTCTCTTATCCGAGTTTTATGTCGGTTTAAATATTCCATGGATCCACACATCTACTTTCAAGCAATTCTAAGCTAAAAACTTCAATCAAAAGATTTTTCCTCTAATTTTTTCTCATATTTTCACGAAACCACCTTTAATTCTGAACCAATTTTCTTCAATCAAACAACTATTATTGATTATAAAAGCAACTGCTGTCTCTTTTGGAAAATCAAGCATGTTATCTTTTGTTGTTCCTCCTCTGTTTTAATATTAAATCCTGTGTTCTGTTTTAATAGAAAGTAGATTACTTTATTATTAATTAGAAATATAAATATATTTTAAGTTTAGGAAAGGGCTTAAAGAGACATATTTGGTTTCTTGACCTAACTCTAAACCTTACGGACCGCATACATTTATTTCATGAGAGAAGAAACTAACAACTCAACAAGACAAGCAAAGCAGTAGTTGTTTCACTATCAATAATTTCCATTTCCAGTTAAGAGTAGCCGCCCAAGCAAACAACATTTCTCAAAACAAAATCCACACGACAATTTCTTCTTAGTGAGCAATGCGTGAGGTAACAAAAAGAAGGCCTAAGTTTCAATGGGCGACCAATCAATCAATTCCTTTCTCTCTCTAAAAAAAAAAAAAATTGAATAGATAATCAATTTGATATGCAAAAATAATATAAAAGGATTCTTAATTTTGTTTTATCCAAGGTAGGGCCATGCCACGTATTTTAAAAAAAAAATCTTAATTTGTGATAATAATAAATATTACAACAGTTGAGGTTTAAATTTTAAATATATTAAATATTAAATTTTAAAGATGATTAGATAAATTAATTAAATTGTCTTAAGTTTCACTCATCATCTTTGTATAAAACAATCACTTTTCTTAAGAAAAATTTCCTTAATTAGATAGAGAAAGCCATGAATGCCTAACTTAATTTCTATTTATGAATTGAAGATCCCCTTCAAGTTTGTAGTCAATTGTAAGTTTCTTCTAATCACATTTTAATTAGTTGGGCGTTGGCAACCTTTCGAAAAAGCACATGGTTTGGTTGGCAATAACTATCGGGTCCCATGTTCTTTTTGTCAAACAGCAATTGGTAGCTAAATTCTTCTCAAAAAGCTTGATTTGATGTTTTCTTGTTAACAAAAAGAAGAACCAAAATCATCAAAGCCTAATCGAAAGAAAATTCCATATGCCTAATCAAAAGAAATTTCCATACGCATGATGCCCCACCTCTTTATCTTTTTATCGCACAGAAAGTTCAGTTTAGGTATGACGCCTTACTGGTATAGAGAAGTGGCGTCAGGTTGCAAGAAAAGAGAATATTAGCATGAAGATGGAGGCAAGCATGAAATATTGCAGTGCAATTGGCAATTCGTGAGAATCAGTGACAATGAAAGGAGCCGCTGGTAGACGTGACGAGGATTCAAGCTGATCCGTTTTGTTTGATCATTGAAAAGTTTCATTTGAGATTCTTGTTTGAGGAGACCAATAACATGTATGACGCCAAATTCGAGCGTAAAGGCCACCCATGAGGGACAAGGCCCCCAGGGCCTGTGTTGTTTCTCCGTCGAATGAGAATTTTCACCCCCGCTGCATTAGCATTATTGACTTATTTTTTGCCCCCACCACTAAAACAACTCTTTCCATTTGGTGAATGAAGTGAATTAAGTCTCCTCAAGAAATCATTTTTGGGGTGCATTCTAGCATGATGGAAAACAAAATATTGAATGGATCCCAGCAAATACAGTCCCCAAAAAGAATCTAAAAGGACAGCGAAATGGATGAATAAAAATTTATATAATGCAATTTTCTACATTGCTCTCAAAATTTTATCAAAACAAGAAGATCAATTGCATGCCATTCATGCAGAAGTTGATTCAGATGCCGCCCTCTTCTTGGCAAAGTATTCATCAGCTCGTGCAAGGTTCTTTGCAACTGATGGCTTAACCCACTTCTTTCGGCCAGGCAGTACAGTGAGAGAACAACCAGCTGCCTCAAGCTTTTCCTTTGCAGATGCTGAAAAGGCACGGGCCTTGAAGTTCAGCTTTACATTCAGCTCCCCATCACCAAGAATCTAAATCAACACAACAAATAATAAATGGATATTTTATTTTAAAAACAACATTATTTCTCATGTCCAATTACCCATCCTTATTTAATCAAACACATTTTGCAATTAGGATTCTTTCAGTCTTAAATTAGGAAAGAAAATTTTTTACCTATGTGGTCCACGTTATTTTACTTTTCCTGAGCAAAAGATAATCAGATACTATCACAAAAACATAAAAGATGCATGTCCTGAACCATGGATTTGCTGATTTTGGAGGCTTCAATCTACCAGAAATAAAAGCAAACAAGAAATGCTTTTCCGTCTAACCATTATGGCCATTCATACAGTTATACAAGGAATGTTTAAGAATCAATCAAAAGAAACACACACGACATAACAAATGCTAGTGTATTAAGCACAATTTGAAACAATAGACAACACAAGCAAGCTTAATCACAATTGGATTGATATTTTCCAAATTGTACATGAGAAATAGGACTCTGGCCTGTGAATATTTTACTAGAAAAAAATACATACATGTATAAATTTCTCTCTGTATGTGTCAGTAAACATGATTTGTATGGAAATTGAAGAACCATTTGTCAAGAAATTAGTGCTGTTCCACATTTTAATATCCTCAAATTCCAAATAAGACAGGGTATTCCCTGTGATGATCCATAATGAATCAAGCATTATTCACAAGTTCTGCATATATAATTTTGCAGTTGAAATCAAAATGCAAAAGTCAGAATAGAAGTATGCAATATAGGCAGATTAGTAGCTGGAGTGAACCTTACGCATTTAGCCTGCCTACCTCTTAAATTGTTGAGACTGAACTCCAAAGTCAAAGGATGCATTTCTTAGGATAGAGCTTATAGTACTTCATGCATAAGATAAACATAACTTTGTGCTCAACAAACTGATCAGTAGAACAAGTTCTTTTTGGGCCATCAAACATACATATTCTTGCATTTGTCATAACATAAATCCAAGATCACATGTACCTTTAAAGGGAGTTTCCTCTCTCTTCCTGATGGGTTGATCAAACCCTTGTCCTTCAAACTCTCCAAAGACACCTCATCTCCCTCTTGAAATCCTGCTGTTTCTATGTCTTTTAAGTTAACGGGGATGTATTTAGGTAATCCAGCATGCATACCTAGTAAAGGAAAATAAAAGTAGAAAAAAAAATGTCAATAAGAGCTCTAAACAGTATGCAAATATACATAAAGATGAACAGAGGCACCGAGTTCAAATCTAAAACTGGAAAGAAGTTTTGCCAAACAATGGAAAAAGATATCATAAAGGAAAAACATAATCTTATATAAGCTTTAGGGAAAAAGATTCAACAAGCCAGCACTAATACAACGGAAAAACTTATCCTGGTAAGGCACCCAAATAGGAGGAAATTTTTTAGCAAGATGTTAGCCCAAAACTTTAAGCCATAGAAAAAAGGAACCAACTTTTATATTTAAGTCTTAATGTCTCTTTCCATTCAAGCCAAATGAACATAATGTGCTTTGCAGATAAACCCAAGTGTTGAAAAAGGCGCAACCTGAAGAAGGATAAAAGATTATTTCATATAAGGGCCAATGGACAAGACAACACATAAAGAATTAATTAGAGATGAAAAGGCTCCCAAGCTCAAACTTTGGTTTAATCTAATATCAAACAGGTAGATGTGGACCAATTATCCAAACACTAAGCTAATAGAAAAGGATTTACCTTCTATATTCATTAAAATTATAACACACATTTGAACAAAAGCAAAGAAAGTTCTAATAGTCTGCACTCTTTTCACAATGGCAGTAGGTCTTCACCTATAGATGGAACAGAGGTTTCTCAACTGATGTGACCACTTAAAATTTTGGATCATAGCATTATGTGAAAATATTATCTTAATTCCAACCACTTCAAACTCTTCCATCTACCAATCGCAACATCATCTCACCACCAATGATAACTTTTAAACTCCCTTCTTCAGCTCTACCATATGAATATTTGAAGCATATCATTAGCCATAATTGATCATAGTATTGAAATGACAAAAATTTTTTGTCTCTCAACACTTTATTTTGTTAGTTGTTTATTTGAGCTTTATAATCAAAATATTTTGCAAATAATCTTGCTTTTCTTTTAAACTCATTTTTGGCCAAGTGCTTTTCTTTAAAACTTAATTAATTTGTTTTAGAACAAATTTCTTCTTTCTCTTGTTTGATTGATACACTTGAGCTAACATGTCAATAGATAGATGAATTTTAATCAAAATATCTTATATCCAAAAGAAAGAAAATGTAAATTGTGAGCCACTACTTACTCCAAAATAATTCCAGTCAATATTGGTTGTTCTATGCAAACTTAGGTAGAAATAATCTAAAGCAAATTTCACAGTAAAACTGTTAATCATAATAAGGCTTCATATTTATCTTAAATGTTTATTTCTTTAGTAATATGTAGTTCACTCATTTTTTCAATTTCTTGAGAAGAGAAATTGAGGCAATATGACCATCATTCATGCCCTTTTCCACAAAATTAGTCCAATTTGATCCCAAAATAAATAACAAGATAATTAGGTTTTTGCAACACAAATACAAACAAATCTTTCGGGATCTTAAGACTCATCATCAAGAGGGGAAGAGCTTCTTAATAATAGTTATGACAACTATGCTTCAAAATAAATTCATTAAAAAGCAAAAGGGAAATACCAAGAAAAACGACAGGAAAATCCTTCAAAGTCCTCTAAAATCCTTCTGCATCAGAATCTATACCTTATAATCTTCCTTTGATTTTTGATTTTCAACATCACAATAGATAATTTTGTTACCTTGGGATGGCTTCTTGCAACGGGTGAGAAAAATTTGGTTAAAACTGAAATACTTGAAGAGTTGATAAATTTCACTAAAAATGTATTAGCATTGACGTTTTTTAGTTATATTGGGAATATCTTTTCTAAACACTGGGTTCTTTGGTTGGTTAGTGCTTTGAAAGTCATGCTTGAACCAATTGAAAAAACCAAACAACATTTTTATAGTATATATACATTTTCTTATTTATTTACAACTGTGATGCCTCAGAAACTGTTAACCAAAATAATTTTGCTTTCTAGCATCCATATAAACCTAAAATAAAAATTCTTCCAAAAATTTTAATAAACAAAGAAAGAAAAGGAAATATTACAGAAATAATGGAGTGATCTTCTTTGGAGAAGAAAAGATCCATCAAAGACCGAAGCTCTTGACTTTGAAGAGAGCACTGGAGCATGTCAAAGTTCCCATGTTTCTTTTTTGAGCTAATTCAAACTACAACTTTGATGGAAAGAATCACTCACATGTTAAAACATTCAAGATAACAACAATAAACAAGACTTACAGCAAAAGGGAAAACAAAAATAGAGGAAGAGGAGATTCAAAGAATCCTGGAGAAAGAGGTAAAGTGAAACTCTAGATTGTTGGGAACTTTTTGCTTTTGGCTTTGAATCTTTTGGCAAGAGTTAAGTGCATGATGGCCTGGCAGTAATTTAGACAGTTGCCTAGAACTCTACACTTCTTTACAACATTGAAACTTGGTTTAAGCTAATATTAACATGTCAGTGTCATACTTTTGCATGTCGAGCCCTTCACCATTTTACTTTATTGAATAGCCCTAAACCATCCATTTAGGAGAAGAGGATAAAACTTGAATAAACCTTGATTCTATATCTCCGATGTTTCTATGGCCAAAGAACCTAACCAAGTAAACCAAGAATGTTGGTAATTAGGTTATCACTTACATAAACAACTCGGCCAGTTAGATTTATTGTGATTCTAAAAGTCAGTTATTTTTGAGTTGGCATAATTTGACTGAATTAACCAAACTGAGCACAAGCGCACCCTACTTCTTGACTGACTGAAGCTTCTAATTCGTAACAAGCCTCCATAGCTATCTGTGAGAGCGGAATAAAAACTATGCAATTCAAATAAAAATATTAAAAAGGAAAAGTTAAGGATTCATCTTAATTGTAGCATTGCTGATGTTTCAATTTCTTCATTGAGAAAAAAACTGTCAAATGCATACTGGAACTTCTAACCTGTCAATTTCATATTGTATATACTAGGTAGAAATTTCTCTTATCACTAATCAAACCACAAAAAGAGAAGTGAGAGAAGATAAAGAGCTATAAAGGATACATCTCAATCAAATGTCCAATTGAAATGCTGTATTCTAAGTTTCATCTGAGATTGGTATAAGTTAGTTGACAGTTCACAGCCACACATTTATAAATTCATATTTTCTCCCTAAACCCTACCACTAACTAGACTAGATGAAAAAGATGACTTTACTTATAAACATCTTAGCACCAACATCATTATTGCAAAAATCCATAATTCATACAATACTTAGATCTGACTTAGTACACATGAGTAAGTGATATCTTATCAAAAAGAAAAAGAGTGATTAAATATTCCCTAATGCTCTAATCTCTATATACAGTTAACAAAAAAGTCTACTTTATCTGTTTCTTTTACTTTAAAACTTATCATTTGGTTTAATAAAGTTTTCTTTTATTTCTTTATTTATTAAAATAAAAAAAATATCAAATGAGCATTTTTCTACATCCTATTGTACTTTTGCAGGGCACTATCTTAGTTTTTCTTTACAGCACTTTTAGAACAATTCTACTCAAACAACACTTCCTACAAAAGCCCCGAATCAAACAAGCTCATAAATAATTAGTGATAATGAACAAATGGTCAATTGCTACCAACAAATCAAGATAATACTCAAACCCAAACCATTCCTTACATAGGTTACATGGACATGATTTGAGCAGCCATTTGATCGACTATTCCACTATTTCTACAACTCAAACTGGAATACTACAAGTTTGCTTAAGTTCTTATTAAGGGAGAAATTTTGCAGAGTTCAAAGTTCAAGAATCAACAATTGATGCTAGCACTGTAAATCATGAAACTAAAAATTCTAACCAGAAATCACAATCCCATAAAGCATTTGAATTTTTAAAAATTAATAAATAAATAGATGAAAACAAAGATTACCTCCAGCAATCCCTCTCAATTTGGGGATACGCCTATAAAGCGGCATTTGCCCACCCTCAAAGCCCTTTCTAACACCTGGACCAGAACGTGATTTTTGACCCTTCATTCCAAACCCACAGCTGCCACCTTGTCCAGCAGATATTCCTCTCCCCTTTCTCTTCCCTTTCTTTCTTGACCCTGGCTGAGGTCCCAGATTGCCCAACCGGAACCTAACATTAGAAGCTGTAACTGACACTTGGGTTTTTGCCGCTTGGTTCACAATAACTAAAGACCTTGGCCCTTGTTGTGTCTGTTGCTGTTGTTGCTTGGTTCTGATAGGGATAACGTGAAAGGGGTTTGGTCTTAAGCTCTTCAGATTTCCCTGCAAAAAAAAAAAAAAAGTTCCAATTACGTAATTTTCAGTGTAGTTTATATATAATATATTAAGGAGGGCGTGAAATGAAAAGAACCTTGAAACTGGAGTAAAGAGAGAGTGAAGTTATGATAGGAGGGTTTGGAGAGAGTGAGAGCATGGCTGCCATTACAGTGAAGATGTTGAGGAAGAAATCTGGAAAGCAACGTTATGTATAATTTTGCTCACAGATAAGGAGTGTAATCCTACCTTTTTTTTTTTTTCTTTTTCACTGGCTACCGTAGGGTATAGGATATGGGCTTCGAACTCTCATGTTTTATATCTTTTGGAAGTTTGTGTTTGGAATTCTTTTGATAATTAAGTTAAAAAGGCTGAGAACTACTATATATATATATATATATATTTATGTACAATGAATTTTGCGTCATAAGATTTTTAAATTTTTGCTTTCCAAAATGATTGGGTATTGAGCCCAAGTTAAAAAAAAGAAATGCCCAATTTTTTTCTTAAATTTTCTTTTTATTTATTCAAAATAGTCAGGAAAAAATGAAAAAGAAATTGTCTCTGTTACATCAATTGTGGTTAAATTTAGAAAGGCCCACAATATGTGGAAGAGAGCAGCACAAAACGTTGGGGTAATGGGTTGGCTTTAGTGTGAAATGGGCTTGCTGACCAGATGTCCGTAAGGAAAAAAACTACGAAAACTGGAGATACAAGGAATAGAACTGAGGAAGGTTAAAATGGCCTCGAATAAATAATTTTAAAAGAAAATATTAAGCATAGATTTAGTTGAAAATACATTTATAATAATGGATACTTCCACTATTTTTTAAGTAGTGGAGAGATCCTTCCCTGATGTTTGATAGTGGTTCTGATTGATAGAGAATTTACAGAAAGTGGTGATTGGAATGAAGAGCCAATTTCGCCAGAGATAATGAGAATTTTAGTCTGGAACTATCGAAGGTTGGGGGCTTCTCGGTCAGTCCATGAGCTGACCAAAAGTTGTCAATAATAAAAGCCCTCAACTGCTCTTTCTTATGGAGACAAAGAGCAGTGGTGAAATGGTCTTGTTATGAGCTAGATGGGCTTATGATAATTGTTTTGTAGTTGACTGCATTGGCAGGGCGTGGTTTAGCTCCTTTATGGACAGGGGATTTGAATGTTGCTATTTTGTCTTACTCTATGTCTCATGTTGACGCACAGATTGTGGGAAGGGATGGTGGAGAACCATGGAGGTTTACTAGTTTCTATGGTCAACCGAGTACTCATACGACAAAGGAATCCTGGCAGTTGTTACGTAGTTTACTGGAAAGATCACCTTTACCCTAGCTGTGTGGAGGAGACTTTAATAAGATCTTGAGTGAAGAGGTCAAGGTTGGAAATTCTTCTCAATAGGAATGGCAAATGTATCAGTTTAGAGCAGTTATATATAGATGATTGTGGCTTTTAAGGACTTCCCGTTGGAGTAGAGGGAGCAGTTTGAATGCTATATTAAAGAAAATGTAATATGGGAAGCAAGGAAGAAGGTATAGCTTTAGAATTGGGAATATGTGGACTCGTCGGTAGATATCTAATTTTGATCGGATTAGTTGAAATAGTTTTTATTTTGTATCTATTCGAAAATCTCAAATAAGTTATTTAGGCACGAGTAGGCTCAATTGTAGAATTAGATTCGATTCAATTCAATTACGCCAGAAGTTCAAAGTCCAAATTAATTGAATTTGATATCCTAAGGTCTAATTCAAATTTTTGCTTGGGTTTAATCCAATTTAATTTGAGCTTGAAAACTTGAGATCCAAACCAATTGGGTTTAAAAGCCCAAAATCCAAATTTCAATTTACGGCCCATTTACTTTCAATCATAATAAATTAATAAGTTTAACTAAAAGTTAATTAATTAAAGGAAATTAATTAAAAATGCAAAAAAAAAAAAAAGAAAAAGGTTAGAGCATGGTGCCACGACACCACACCCAACCCTTTCCTTATCAGCATCCATAACCTCCTAGCCTCTTTTACCCACTATTGAGCTACCCTATTAGTTGTCAGCAACCTCCCTTTCCTAAAGATCCAACCCCTTTTGGTAATGGTAGTTTACCCATTTGTATCAGAAACTTGATCTAAACTTGAGTTGGAAAGATGAAAGCTTCAAGCAAGCTACAATCCCAGGAAATTAGGGATTTTAGTTTCTAATTTTTTCTATAAAAAACAAATGATTGCCATCAGAAAAGATTAAGGGTGAATTTTGAAAGAAAGACTGCTAAATCCCCTCTTTTGCCATAGTCGAACCATTAAAGCATCAAAGTAACCACTAGTAGTAAGCCAACCTCCATAACCATAACTATAACCCTATTTCACCTGTGAAAAGAAAACACCCTTTACTAGGACTCCATCACAAACCCCCTCTGTCAACACTCCATCCAAACCTGTAAAAAATAAATACACAAAAAAAAAATCTACATTCCTAATAAGGGAAGCATAAAGCAATAACACAAAAAAAAAAAAAAGAAAATCATTGAAAATAAACACACAAAAAAGGGTTTTAGATAGTTTTAGGATTTGATTTTTGGAGAGTAAGAAGGCTTTGAAGAGAGAGATAACATAGTGAAAGATGGGGCCCATTGAAGAAGTGAGATTCACTGAAAAGAAAATTTTGGCTTAATCTTTGAGGTCAGATTTAGGCTTTTAGGGTTTTTTTTTTTTTTTAAAAAGACTAAGGTCAGAATGATGTTTAGGAGTTTGGGATGAGTCTGAGTGAAAATTTGGGACCAAAAGGTGATCGATCGATAATGGTCGACTACGGTCGACACAATTGCTGATGATGACCATTGCTATTTTTTAGGATTCAAGTGGCCGCCTTTTTTTGGATTTTTTTAGAGAACTTTTTTTTTAGAAAATGGTTTCAAAATGAAGTAAAAAAAAAAGCTTTTAGCTTTTATAGAAAAAATTGCTATTGAGCCGCGTGTGGACTTGACTTGATTTGAGATTCGCACGCCCATCTCGGTACCTTAACCTTTATTGACAACCTTAAACCGATCCAACCGAATCGCTGTTGAACCTATCGAGCTAACTGAATTGCTCTGAACCATTGACCAGTTTTGACTGGCTATTTTTGGGTATTATTTTTTTATTTTTTCTTTTTGATAAGTTATTTATTTGTTTATTTTTGCATTTTTAAATTTCAAATGTTTAGAATAAATATACATCTTTTAAAAAAATAAAATAATCTAACAAAAAAAAATGGAGACCTCATCTGATTGAGTAATGATTCATTAAAAATCTCTAAGCAAGAATATTTTTCTAAATATTATCAAAAGTACTGGAGTATTTAGAAAGATAACCAATACAAAAAGATTTTAATTTAATTATTGTTTTATTAAATTTGAAAAATGGAATAAAAATAAAAGAAAATAGTTTTTTTTTTTAGAAATAAATTTATATATAACAATGCATGAATATTATTTGCATTAGTTAATTAAAATGCAAGACTCCATGGATAAGATTTTAAGGAAATCCAAGTAGTGATTCCTAAAAAATCCTTAAAATAGAAAATTTCTCCTAACATTACCCTCATACTATAACATTTTGAGAGTTTTTCAATAATAACGTTGTAATTTATTTTTTTTAAAATAAAAATGGAATAATCATTTTTTAAGAAAAAAAATAAAAAGAGAAAATTTTGTGAAAAAATGAAATAATAAAAAATAAATAAAAACAAAACAAAAAACCAAAATTAAACAAAAAAAGTAAAGTTAAGGAAAATTGTTTAATACAAAAATTTAAACCTTTTAGTCATGATTAAAAAATAATATATAATTAATTGATACCATTTTTAAAATAGACTTCATGGGGGTGTTAATATTTTCTTATGAGTAACCCTGCTCTCAAACCAAAATTATTTTTATAGACCCTATAATTACCTTTTTAATAAAATTTTAATTAATTTTAATATTTTATTAAGAATGTAAGTTTTAATAGGTGTCCAATTGCATTTAACCAAAAAAAATTGATAGCGACTCTTTTTTTTTTTTTTTAAATTCATCCAATGGTCCTTAAAACTATCATGACAACTTGGTGACTTTATTAGAGATATTTTTTTAGAATCAGGCCAAAAATTAATTATGAATTATCCTTAATTTTGATTTAATGGTCTTAATCAGTATTTAACTTTAACTCCTTTGATTTTGAATTTGTTTTTTAAAAAATAATGATGATAATAATAATAATAATAAATAAAAGAAAATCACTTGCATCTTATTTTAATTATGTTATTTAATTATGTTGTTTTTATGTAAATATTATTTTCAATAAATTGTAGGGCATTAAGGATAGAAATGATGGTGTTATTTTCTCACTCACACATGATGACAAATTATACTTCATGCATGAGCTATATATCAAGGCTCTGTCCCTTATAAAAGAAGTAAAGTACTTATGTCTAATGAGTTGATAACCTCCATAATGATAAGCAAAATATTTTCACTCAAAATAAAACATTTTTTATTGTAACTTGTGATAGACGAGGATTAGGATGCCTTACTAGTTTAGCAAGGATGACAATAAGGAACAATTTAGGAATCTCTAGATATGTGTTAATCCAAACCAAGCATATAATAAACTTTAAGGAGCCAACCTTATGTAAAGCCTTACTCATTTTTTTTTGTAGAAGTTACTTGAAATTAGGGTGCATGAAGGCATTATTTCTTTTTTTTTTTAATACTTTTTTTCTTTTATATTTATAATGAAATAAGTATGTTTTGTATGCCTATTATGACTAAAACAAAATTAAAGAGGTACAAAAGAAATTTTTGGAAAATGCAAAAAAAATTATGTTTTATTTCAAGTGAAGATTTCTTTTATCTAGTAGTTTTTTACATTTCGTATTTTCAAAGTTTTTTTTTTAAATGCTGTATTTCCAAAAAGTTTTTTTGCCTAAAAAATTTGCATTTCAACGAAGGAATAAAAAGAATTTTATAAATTTTTTCTCTTTTCTTTGAAAACAAATTAAGCTTTTCTTTTTTTTCAAAAAGAAAAAATATTGTTTTTTTTCCCTCCAAAATAAAAAGATAAAAGGGAAAATTATATAAGAGATTTTTCTTATTTTCCCAAAAGAATTTTATTTGATTCTTTCTTTCGTTAAAGAAGAAAAAGTGTTTTGTAGAAAAATGAAAAAATTCAAAAAAGGATAAGAGTTTTTGTTGTCAGTCATATTTGTCGTATAGAAATATAATAGAAAAAAGGTAAGAAAAAACTTATTTTGAGTTCGAAAAGATAAAAAAAAAAAGAAGAGAAAATCAATAAAGAATTTCAAAAACCATTCGAAGTAAAAAAATGAAAAAAGAGGGAAGAATTT